CTAAAAAGTTAAAGATTCCATTACAAAAAAGAAATAACCCAGATAATATACATGAACAATAAATCAAAAACAAAATCCTACTGGAGATTAACAACAAAAACCAACAGTGCTAAAACTCCCACAGGTAAAACAAATTCATTCAAATAATAATGGTGGTGGTTTTAAAATATACCCACTAATTCTTTAAAACTTCCTCCAAAAGGTGGAAATTAACGCCCCTCCCTTGTATGGTTGTGCCTGGTGACTCTCTCCGAAGGAACAGAAGGTCGCAGAAGTAGCAGCAGGTGTCCTATATATAAAAGGTGCTGTGACATCCTCCATTCCCCGCCAGCTTAATCAGTCTAGAGTCTAAGGGCTGCCATGCCATGACAAGACTTAAGTGGACCTCGGGAGAACTCCATCATCTAGTAAGGACCTCCTGCCAACAGCCATGTGAGTGAGCCACCTTGAAGCGTACCCGCCTGCCCCAGTCAAGTCTGAGGCTGACAACCGCCCAGGCGGATGTGAGTATAATTCTGAGTCAGAATCACTTGGCTAAGCTACTCCCAGATTCTTGAGAGACAGAAACTGAACATGTTTATTGTTGTTTTAAGCTGCTGAGTTTTAGGACAATTTGTTATGCTGCAATGAAATTTTAAAAAGCTCAGGCGCACTAGGATATTTATTGACTTTATTTACTAAGTATCTGAACAGAGCAGTAGTCTCCAAATTAACAAATTTCTGAACTGTATACACAAAGAAAAATAATCAAGTATTTCCTTTTAAAATAATAACATATATCATTTTGTGTCTTTTTCCATCTCAACATAATTTAGGGTCCTCCCTGGTGGCACAACAGGTTAAAAGCACATCACTGCAAAGCTGTCAGCAACCACTTCAGCACAAGTCTGATGCCAGCAAGGCATGATCCACATAGCATAGGAGACCCCTCCTGTCTTCCCACTGCTCCCCTCAGCAGTGGATTTCAGTATATCTGCTTGTTCTGCTCCCCACTGTCTCTGGTGAATCCTGTCACCCCCCCCCCATACCTCTGGCCTACATACAAGTTCTTCTATGCACGAATAAATAAATCTTTAGGAAAAAACACTTAACAAATGAACAGGAAACCAAGTATCTTTTTACTGAGACACCTGTGATATTATAAAGAAGAAAAAAAAACTCACCGAATAAAAACTAAATCCTTTTGTTTTTGATAAAAGGTAAAAAAACTTTTTTAAAAGTGGTGAAAAAGCCTCTTCCGGGCCCTCCCTGGTGGCGTAGCAGGGTTAAAGCATAGCACGAAGAAGCTTAAGTCACTTCCGCATGAGTTTGATCCCCGCCTGCCCCGAGGAGATCCACATGGTGAAGCAGACCTCTCCTGACCCGCCCGCTGCTCCCCTCAGCATTGTACTTCGTCAGTCTGTCTGTTCTGGTCCCCACTCTGTCCCTGGTGAATCCTTCTACCCTCCGCATCTCTGGCCTTTACCCCAGTTCTGTATGAATAAATAAATAAATTTTTGTAAGATTTATTTATTATTTGTGCATACAGAATTGGGGTACAGGCCAGAGGCTCAGGAGCGGCAAGAGGCTTCACCCAAGACAGAATGGGGAGCAGAACAGGCAGATCGACGAAGTACGCTACTGAGGGGAGCAGCGGGTGGGTCAGGAGAGGTCTGCCACGCCATGGGGTCACCTCCGGGGCAGGTGGGCATCGAACTCATGCAGAAGTGGCTTTAGCGTCTCAGTGCTGTGCTTTAACCCGCTGCGCAACCAGGGAGGGCCTAAATAAATAAATGTTTAAAAAAAAAAAAAAAGCCTCTTCCTAACTTCAAGCCAAAAAAAAAAAAAAAGACTTCCCTTTGTGCCCAAACTGGAGAAGACTCCAAACTCCCTGGATGAGCAGAAGGGGGTAAAAAAACAGCAAGCAGCAAGAAGCAACTGAACATAAATGGTGAAGCATAAATAAAAAGTGGTGAGAGAATGGAGTAAAAATGGGAATGGAATGTTTAACCTGTTACGATAAATTAAAATATAAATAAGAGGAAGAAAGAGGATGTACAATAGCTAGATTGTTAGGAAACTTTTAGAAGGATTAAATTTTATACAGAACTTAAATACTGTGCACGACTTTAAAGTACAATGAAAAGTATTTATGAAGGGCAGGTAGAGGGTAGTGGAAATACAGCACTGTAGTGTGGTAGTGGTTGCACAACTAACATGTCACTAAAAATCACTGAATTCTATACTTCACAGGTGAATTTTATAGTATATAACTCAATAAAGCTGTCTTTTTTTAGTGGTATGCACTTGCTAAGAAGAAATTACACTAAGGTTTCCCTGACAAAAGGAAGAATGTAGTCAAGAGGGGAAATATCACAAAATTCATTCAGACAGGAAAATAAAAACTTTCATAGATTAACTGTAAAGTATCTATCTCCAGGTGGCCCTCGAGAACCTACTTAGGGTCACAAAATCTTACTATCTTAAAAGTTAGAAAGACAATAGATTTGGGAACCTTAAGTGTAAAATATAGAAAAGTAACCTTCAACTTAATATCCTGTCAGCTAAGAGAAGTAACAATTTATGCTGTTCTCACATTACATATACCTAAAATGTAGAGATTGTGCCTCCTGAGATAAGAATTTCTAAAGAAAATTTAAAAGAAACTCAAATTCATAATGTTTTTAAATGTATAATTTATTTACAAGCATGATGACTAGAGTCAACTCCTCAGGCAGTAAAAAAACATCCAAATGAGGGACTTGGGGCTATTTTTGGAGAAGACAAATTTGCACTGGTTCAGGGATTTTTTTTCAGAAGTTTCTCCAAACACCTGTACTATATTTCATCTACCCCATTTGCAACTACAAACAGATCAAACAAAACTATACCTATAAACAACTATAACTCACATAGTATATAACTCAATAAAGCTCTGAGCTATGAAAATATCAGCCCCTGCAAACCCTAGGTCAAGAGTCTCAACTTCCAAAACAGCACAGGTGTCTCTACTTTCAGACCTACTAGTGTCTTCTCTGCCTTTGGCTGAATCAATAGCATGCCCAGGAAAAAAAAAAAAATCCCGGCCCTCCCTGGTGGCGCAGCGGGTTAAAGCACAGCACTGAGAAGCTAAAGCCACTTCCGCATGAGTTCAATTCCCACCTGCCCCGGAGGTGACCACATAGCGTGGCAGACCTCTCCTGACCCGCCCACTGCTCCCCTCAGCAGTGTACTTTGTCGATCTGCCTGTTCTGCTCCCCACTCTGTCTCTGGTGAAGCCTCTCGCCGCCCCTGACCTCTGACCTGTACCCCAGTTCTGTATGCACAAATAAATAAATCTTTAAAAAAAATCCCATTAATTCATGTAATAAGTATTTTCTTCCTTTTTCCATAAAAGAATGTCCTTTCTTCATAAAAGAATGTCTAGCAGACACAATGAAATATTAATATATAACTATCTCCTCTAAGTGGCTACAAGGAATGTCAAAAGAAGGGCCCTCCCTGGTGGCGCAAAGCAAAATGCTATGAAGCTGTCCACAGACACTGCAGCACAAGTTCAATTTCCAGCCCCAGAGGTGACCCATATGGTGCAGCAGACCTCTCCTGTCCAGCCTGCTGCTTCCCTCAGCAGTGTATTTCACTCTATCTGCCTGTTCTAGTCCCCAATCTGTCTCTCAGGAACCTCTGGCCTATTCTCCAGTTTTGTATACATAAATAAATAAATTTTTAAAAAAAGTCAAGACAATAGCACATCTACCTATACTTTAACACTTTTAATCTCAATGAACTTTATATATTTCAAAAATACATACATTGCAAGTTTCCAATACTGTGCCTCACTTTTTGTGGGCATTCAGTTAAGTGTCACTTCCTTTCTTTACATTAATTCTTACAGTATTTTCATGAAACATTCCTGTTTACTATCACCTGAATATAAAGCAGGAGAATAGAAAGATAATTTCCTGAGTGACCACCCAAAGTAGACCTTTAGAATTCAAGCCACCAGATGATGATGGGATTCAAGTCCTGGTTAAACTTAAATCTGTCCTTCCCACCTCCCTTCTAAACAGCTATGGACCATATTTCCAAGGCCTATCCTTTTCCTGGCAGCAATGTATTAATGGCACCTGTTCTTTATAACCAAAAGTCAGTCTCAAGAACCTATGCTATTCTAAGAGCAGGTATAGCAAAAGTCCAAAGATTGTCACCAACCCACAGAACCCCAGGCATGTTCATGAAATCCTTGTCCACAGGTTGTGATAAGAACTGTTGTCATATTTTTGGTTATCAAGTTCACTGCACCAAAGAGCAATGGGGTCCCCACAGACCTAAGAGCTACCTCAGCCAGCACTAGCCCTTACCTTGACAGGAAATGTCCTGACAGAAATAGGTTTGCAGAGCTGTGTGAGGCCACTGTCTACAGCTCTTTTGTGGGTGTCTGAGACAGGACAGACAAATGAACCAAAATCGTATCTGGTATACCTTTATTCAGGCTCTGTAGCTTAAGGCAGGAACTAAAAATGCTGTGTCAGATCAAACTCTAGTGGTTACAGATGGACAGATTCTTTCATCATTAAAAATTGTAGTTGCCATAATAGCTTGGCTACTGTCAAGACAGGCCCTTTGATGCATTTAGTCTACCATTCACATAAGCTACTGAATGACCAGAAAAAAATGATCCTACCACTACCCCCACTCTCCCAAGACTACATGATGGTCTCAATACAAAAGTTTCTGTCAAGAACTGAATCATGGAGAGTGCGTGAGTTCATGGTTCTGTTCTACGACCACCGTCATTTTAAACTGTGTTATTTCTTGACATATAACTCATTCTAACAAGATAACAGATGTCCTCAGCTTTACACAAACTAGTACAACTACACTGGGGCCACAAGAGAGGCTGCAAAAGAGTGTTTCTTTCAACGATGGTAGCCAGATCTATCTCTTCAAGTTAAGCAGAACTGAAAATACTAATACTTTCGGAAAGGAGGCAGGAAAGAGTATATAAACCTTAGACCTACCTTGTTTATAATTCCCACAAACAGGTGAAATTCAATTCCATGCCAACCATACCTTGTGATCACTAAAACACAAACAGAAAAATAAAAGTTCATGCAACATAAGCAGCCTTAAAGGGTATTTAGTTTCAAAGGTAGGAAGTTATTTCTGATCTCCCATCTACCCTTTTCACCCAATCTTCACAAGTGCTTGAGCTATGTCACTGGCAAAAAGGTCCAGATAGGTGGAATTAAATAAAAGGTAAAACCAACTGAGCATTTACTATATGCTAAGATCTATTCTAAGTGCTTAAATATACCGATTAATTTAATCATCGAAACAACAATGTGAGATAATTACTCTAATTCATTTTATATCCAAGTAACAATTGGCATACACCTCTAAAAAATTGCTTTTATTGGCTTTAAGAAATGCTTTTAAAATAAATGTAGTCAGTCTCAACCATTGTATCTGGACGGTCCCAATGGTTGCTATCTATAAATGTTCCCTAGTCATCCAGTCATTAGGTACTTAGTACTATACAGAGTACTAAAGAGGACTCATTCTTTGCCCTTAGGAATGGAGACATTAGTTAGGGAGATCAGACTAAACTACAATGAACAGTTCAGAAACACAGTGCCCTCTTAAAAGACAGCCTCTCTTTATGCAGTTTTTTCAGTAAAATCAATAGCCTTTGGGAAAGGGAAGAAAGCTTCGTGGAAGAGGTCCTTAGAGTGGACCTCTTTAAAAACTGGACACATTGGTAGAGAAAGGAGGAAGACTCTTAAGGCAAGGAAACAACAACAAAAACACAGCAGCAGACACAGACACAGTGTATCTGAGGTCTGACCCATCAGCCTTGTTAGCCTTTACCCTGGTCACTGACCCTCCTTCTCCCCCCGTTAGCCAAACCAACCTTCCTCACTCTAGGACTTACAACCTTTCATAATTTCACTGCTTCTTCTACTACCTGGAATGTTCTCCTCCCTTTTCCTGGTGGGTAACACGAACTAATATGGTAACACATCTTAACATATGGCAGACACTCAAAGGCAGGCCGTGGTAAATAATGTCATTATTTAAGATCCAATTGAATCATTATTCTGAAGTGTATACCAATTCCTCAGAGTTACCTACTCACCACTCTACCACATCCACATGGCATTTGTCCATCTCTCCACTAGAGCAGTAAAATACTTTATTGTCCTCAGGTTTCCTTTTTTCTTTCTTCCTTGCTAGTCAGAACAGGAAGCATGTTTTATACAACTCTATACCCCTGAAGGCCTCGCACCGTGTCTTGCACATAACAGGTGCCCACTTAGATACCTGGTGACTGAGGTCGAGCCAGGCAACTCAAATTTACAAAGTGAATAACAATATATTTATTCTAAAGTCAGCTCCTTCAATATACTTACACAATTCAAAGTCTAGTGCACTTCTACTAAATTTCATAAATGTCATTAATAATTACACCAGTAATTCAAGAACAAAAAGTCAAAGTGGACACTAAAAACTGACTTGTTTGCTTCACAACACAACGAGGTCCTGGTCCATGCCAATAGAGAGGAGAAAGTAACTGAGTTCACTTATAATGAGATGCCGGCTGGCAATCTCTCCCGCTGAAATGGTGCCACGCTGCGTGCAGTACGTATGTTTATACTGGCTTCAGCCAGGGTCGCAGTGGTCACAGGTTTGGAAGTCCAATCATAAATCCAAGGTTTATTTATAGAAACTTTCCATATGGAAGCAGTTTAAGAAGTAAAACAGCAGCCTTTTTCCCTGCCGAAAGCAGAAGCCAGCAGAGTGCCAAAGGAACATACCCTCTCCAAACTCTGCTCTTGTTGGTGCTTGACGCAGGGGAAGAAACATGCAGGGCAAGTTTAAGAGCCTTGCTGCAAAGCAGTGACCTGGGACAACAGACATTTAGAATGCCTGTGTTATTCAAGACTGAAGCACTCATTTTATACAGGCCCATGTTCATTTAAAGCATATCTGTGGTTTGGAACTTAAAAAATGTTCTAATGTGCATGTCTGTCCACATATTAATCTAGTCAGCCAGGTTTGAACATGCCAAGCTTAAAATACTCCCTAATTCATTACGTAAACGGATGATGAACTCAATTCTTTTATTCTCAGGAAAAGGAACTTAAGGAGAATGATTAAATAGTATTATGATGGAAGCTGTAACAGAAAAAGTCAACTCCTAAGTAGTGAAGAGTTGCGTTTTTAAAACAGGTGAATAAAAAGAAGATAGAAGTTAATAACAGATGTTTTATATTTATTAATCTCAAAATGAGATCCTGGATTTTTAAAGTTCTCAGAGAATATATTTTGAACAGATTTCCACATGAGACCATCTTATAAAAAGATTAGTCATTCTCTCACTAAGCTTCTTTACAAACCAAGTCTAAATTACTCTATATTGAAATGAGTTACATTTTCATATGGTGATGTTGTAAAAATAAAGCTCTTTTACTTTATCAGATTTAGAGAAATGTCAAGAAAATCTGGAATGACTAAATTTTTGTAACTAAATTTCAGAAATTCACACATCTAAATCTCTCATTTTCAATAGGGAAACCAGTATAGAAAGGGTTCAATGGCTTGAGAACAGAAACTCTGGGATCAAAATTTGATTGCTAGCCCAGTGAATTTTATTTTCCTACATACAATCAAATATGCTGCTTGTTTTAGAAATTAAACCTAAGTTTAAATACCTATCCCTTCCCCCTAGCTAAAAAGATTAGATATGTGTTCCCTAAAGATTAAGGAATGCTGCCCGTAAAAGACTGAGCAGTGGAGCCTCCCTGGTGGCACAACAGATTAAGTCACAGCACTACTAAATTATCTGCAGCCTTCCTGGGCCAGGGGGCTGGCCCACATGGCACATACATAAATAAATCTTAAAAAAAAAAAAAAAGACTGAGCAGTGGAAATTCGTACCAGTTATTTTCACAGCTCAATTGATGCTCTCACAGAATCTACTGGAAGTTCAGCTTTAAAAGTATTCCTGACATTCCAGAGAGGATGTAAATAATTTTTATAATCTAAGAGATTACCCCATCTTCTTCCCACAAATAAAAAGACTTCATACAATCCAGAATCTTCTTTCAAATAAGTGTTTTTTCTGAAATAATGCTATTTTTGCATTTGCTGTTTTTAATTTGGGGAGGTGGGATGGAAGCCGCAGAGTAAACAAATTAACAAAAAGAACAGAATGGGAGGGGGTGAAAGGAAAGAAAACCAGGTTTGACACTGGTATTTTAAAAAAGGCAAACCCCCAAATTTCCAACTATGTGAATCAACTAATAGTTTAAATTTTTTTATTTTTTTATTATTTATTATTTAAAGATTTCTTTATTTACTTATGCATACAAGAACTGGGGTATAGGCCTGAGGTGCAGAAGGTGAGAGGATTTGCTGGATACAAAGCGGGGAGCAGAACAGGCGGATCTACTGAAATCCACTGCCGAGGGAAGCAGCAGGGAGACAGAAAAGGTCTGCTGCACCATGAGGATCAGCTCCCTGGCTGGGGATCGAAGTCAGGCTGTAGGGGTAGTAAGAGCTAACACCCCTAGGCCACCAGAGAGGCCCTTATTTCTATTTCCTTAGGCAGAATAAAAATGGAATTATTACATGCTATTTCCTTTATTTTAATTTTTCAAAGTAGGTTATCATAACCATGGCTTAAAAAAGTCTAGAGTATAATAAGAAGGGAAAAGTAGGTCTCTCCCACAACAGTTCCTAATACTCCTTTTCTGAAACAATATCAACTCTAACATTTTCTTAATGATTAAATGACTCTTCCAGGCTTCCTTACAAGTGAGGCTACAGGAGGAGCTAAGTGCTTTGTCATTAAATTAGCAGAAGGAACACATCTCCACCATCACTGACTCAGTGCCTGCATGGAGACCTGCCTGCAGCACAGCACCAACAGCACCCCGCACCCTCATCCACACACACACAGCCACACCCAAAGCAATGCAGAGGATTCTTAGGGGCAGGGGATGTAGCCAAATACACATTACATAAAGAATGATCATTTTAACCAATTATTAAGTATACATGCCAAAGGCATTAAGTGTGTTCACAATGATGGGGAACCATCAACACCATCCATTTTCAAAATATTTTCATCAACCCAAAGAGAAATGTTGTTAACTATTAAACAATAACTCCATTTTTCCTTTCCCTACCCCTGATAACATGTATTCTACACTCTGTATGACTTTGCCTGTTCTGGCTAACTCATTAAATGGAATCATATAAGAGCTTTCTTTCTGTACCTGGCTTCTCCTGTTTAGCATTATCTCTACTGTTCATGCATTTTGAGCATGTATTAGAATTTCACTCCTTTTTAAGACTGAATACCATTCAAATGCACAGACCATATTTTATTTATTCATTTGGCTGTGGAGGATCATGTGAGCTTCCATCTTCTGGCTATGGTGAATGCTCCTGTATACGAATCTGTAAGTTCCTTCTTAGAATTACTTTGGGTATATACTTAGATGTGGCATCACTGGAGCCAATGGAAAATCTATGCTTCACCTTTTGAGGAACCATAAAAACTTTGTTTCAGTGGCTGTGCAATTTCATATTCTCATCACAAATAAACAAGAGTTCCAGTTTCCCCATGCAGTTTTGGATAATGGCTATCCCCAATGGATGTAAAGTACTATCTCACTGTGGTTTTCATTTCACTCAAAGGAGAAGAGTCTATGTATGTCTAAGACCTCAAAGCATTTTGTACTGGATGCAAGTTTCAGAGGCACTGGGGAATCCCCACCTCACAAAGAAATGGCTTATCCTCTGGCTCTTCATCAGGCTCTCAAGTCCACCCTTCATTTAGTTTCTCACATGTCCTTTCACCTGTTTTTGGCTTTCTTCTCAAAAAGTGTTGCTCTATTCAGAACCACACATTGCCAGTTTGACCAACACACTCCAACTTCTGGAAACTCACAGTACTTAGGGTACTTAAGGCTTCTCTAGAATTGTCAACAATGCTCAAAAACCCTCTCTTGACCCAGATGTTCTTGGTTTTGGGTTCAGCATTCTTAGATGCTTGAAAATAACAGAATAGGC